TCTGTGTCCTCATGTAGCCATTCATACAGCACTCTACTAGATCTGTACAAAGATTAATCAGTGCTTTAAATTGCATTATATCTGAGACAATGAGGGGTTCAGTGTAGAACTGTCATTTCTAACCCCAACCTGGAGCCCGGCCCTGCCCTACCCAGATTAGGGCTGGACCGGTCCATAATAATGTGCTTAATGTGCGGGCTAGTTCAGTGTCAGGCTTTTGATTGCATCAGCGGACGCATGATGATCCAATTATATGGCTATGTGGCTTGCCATACTTTCACCAGCCGCATGCAGCCATTTCACTGCACACTGACCGGCCTTCAGATGGACTGCTGCCAGCTTTCCATCAGCTCAAAAGAACGTTCATTCAGCTGCCGCTGCTTTCAGCAGACGTGCGCGGCCAATGACCCAAACAGGTGAGATCACAAAATAGCTGACATGTCAGAGTAGGGTAGAGTTGCATTCGGGTCCAAAAAATCCGACCCGGCCCCAGTCTGGAACGATCATTTCCGAACCCCACCCGATCCGACGAATTAACAGTAGTTACAGGTCTGAACCCAAAAAAACCCTGACATTTGACTGCTTATATAGTTATTAACAGTCGGCGGACGTGTAATTATTGATAATTTGTCGGATCTGTTGGGGTTTGCAAATGATGGCCACGGGCTGGGGATGGGTCGAGTCGGATTTTTTTTTACCCAAATGCAACTCTAGTTCAATGTCTTGCCCAGGAACACTTCAGCATGTGACTGCTGGTGGAATCAAACCCCCAACTCTTACATTGGAGGACAACTCTCTAACCATTCATCCAGAGCCAACCCTTAACCCTTTTACATGTTAAAGCAATATTTCTGATCTATTGGAGTGGGCTGCTGTGGAGCTGGTTTTAACAAGTAATACTTCTTGTAAATAAATATCTGAACATCCTTAGTTTAGAAAAAAATTGTTTACATCTAAACAGACCGGCAAGCTGATAGCTAGTCACCATCTAGTACTCCTTTGGTCATTTATACACAGTAAGTCTAGCCCTCAGTTTCCATGTACTGCTGACAGGTCATAATGTTTTGCATTTTGTTATTGGTTTCCTGTTGGTGATGTTGTCTGCTGATATTTATTACTGATGTCCAGGCTTTTCGTAACAAAATTTGTCATATTTGCCTTGTAAAATGGACTTGTAATTTTTCTGTTAGCTAAAGTCGATTGACAGTGGCGGACGTCTAAAATTGGGTCTACTCTGAACATTAAGGAGTTGTAGATTGTTATCCATTGTTGTCATCACTCTTTGTTGAGAAATCAGGTCTCTCTTGTAGATGAGTTCCTGAGGCTCAATGGGATAAACCTGTCTAAATAAAGGTTGAATGAATAAACATCTATTTAATAAGTATTTTGCTAACAAACAGTTGTTAAAATTGTTTAAATACATCTGTCTGTCTGTCTATATATCTATCTATATCTATCTATATATATATATATATATATATATATATATATATATATATATATATCTACTTTGTATCTATCTATCTATTTATCCATCCATCCATCCATCCATCCATTAGCTTTACTTGCTTCTTCCTTTTCGGGTCACTGGTGCCCATATCCAGCAGTCACTGTGCGAGAGGTGGGGTACACCCAGGACAGGCCTCCAGTCCATCACAGGGACACATAGAGACAAACGAGACAAACAACCATTCACTCTCTCACTCACACCTAGGGACAATTTAGAGTTAGCACTCAGTCTAACACGCATGTTTTTGGTATGTGGGACGAAACTGGAGAACCTGGAGAAAACCCACAAATGCACAAAGAGAACATGCAAACTCCACCCATTAAGCCCTCGGCTGGGATTTGATCAGCAACCTTCTTCCAGAGAGGCAGCAGCTCTACCAACTGAGCCTTTGTGCCGACAGCAGTCTCAGCCGAATAAAATACAGGTTTAAGATTTAACTATTTATAACATTTCAACAGAAAACTACTCCAAAAGATCTAAATGATCCTTTTAATTTTGCACAGGAGAGCTTTTGATAAACAGTCCTGGTAGAAATACAGAACAACATACATCTTAGAAGACTGGAATTTAAGTCATGGTAGTGAATGTTAATTTAATCCAGCCACATGTATTTTGGAGATACTGATATTAATTTCTGACATGATTAAAAGGGGATTGTGACAGATAATACATGAGCCAGAGTAATAAAAAAAGACAAATGTAAATCGCTTGACTCACGCTGTGACAGTGATTATGGCTAAATTTAATGGAACATTTGTGCTTGGAGCAATGTATTCAGATACGGTTAATTAGAGTTGACTTCTGACCCTTTCTTTCACATTTCTTTAACAGCTGCACACTTTTTATCCTCCCCACAGGTATTAAAAAAGTGTCAGGATTTTTTTCAGGCCACTAAGCAGCCATTGTGCCTATCAAGCTAATGAATTTTGTCCAGTTCAAGCAAAAGTCAATTTAATTCTCTCTCAGTCGGTCTCAGCCAGAATGCATCCTCCTGTGTTTTCAGTAGTTTCTGTACATCAGCTGCTTTGTTTTCCCAGATGGCACATTAGTTTAGAGACGAGGTAGAGTGGAGAAAAATGTTATTACTTGTGACATAAACTGTTCACCCTGCGGAGCTGTGACCTAAAACAGTAACTCTTCACTAGACTTGAGGGTATATCGCAGCGGAACCAGCTCTAGCCTTGGATCTCTCTGTGAAAGACATTTAACGAGTTCCTGTGGATTTGTTGCAGATGGTTGTAAAAACATCCATTCTGATAAAGTTATTGTGTAAAATGTCAATAAAAAAAAGCAGAATGCAATGATTTGCAATACTCATAAACCCTTATTTTATTCACAATGTAACATGATAAACAGATCAGATTTTTATCCATCCATCCATTATCTTTACCCGCTTCTTCCTTTTCGGATCGCAGGGGTCACTGGTGTCCATGTCCAGCAGTCACTGTGTGAGAGATGCCTGGAATGGTCTTCAGTCCATCACAGGGATACATGGCGATTATGTCGCGGCTGTGGCTGAGTGGTTAGCACAGTCGTCCTCCAATGCATAAATTGGGGGTTTGATTCCACCAGCAGTTGCATACCGAAGTGTCCCTGGGCAAGACACTGAACTCCCAATTGCCTCCGATGTTTGTCCCATCGGTGTATGAATGTGATGAATCACTGATTATTCTTTATGTAGATCTAGTAGAGTGCTGTATGAATGGGTAAATGAGGGCATGGATTGTAATGTAAAGAGCTTTGAGTATCTCAATAGGATAGAAAGACACTATCTAAGTACAGTCCATTTATACAGAGACAAATGAGACAAACATCCATTCACTCTCTCACTCACACCTAGGGACAATTTAAAGGAACCAATCCAGTCAGTCTAACATGCATGCTTTTAGTCTGTGGGAGGAAACTGGAGTACCTGGAGAAAAGCCACGCATGCATAGAGAGAACATGCAAACTCCACCCAGAAAGGTCTCCTGCTGGGATTCGCTCCAGCGACCTTCTTGCAAAGAGGTGACATCTCTACGAACTTTGCCACCGTGCCAACCCAGATCAAATGTTGAAACTAAGAAATTGTTCCACGGGCGTCTGTGGTTTCCCCCCCCCAAAAAAAATCAAATTTTGATTACAGAAGAGCTTTGATGATACAATTAAATGTAGATGATGGGATTTTCAAAGTTTTCCAGATTTTATGCTGAGGAACAGTTTTTTTGCAGAGTGGTGAACCCCTGCCCATCTTTACTTCTGGGAGATTCAGCCTCTCTAAAATGCGCTTTTTATACACATTCCTTTTACTGAACTGTTGGCAAGTAATCAACGTAGTTGCAAGACGTTCCTCCAGCTGTTTCTTATTCACATCACTTACTTTTACAGCCTTTTGTTGCCTCTGTCTCAACTTGTTTTTAGACATGTTACTTACTGGTACCCCATGAACCAGAAGGAAGAAGCAGTTAAAGATAATGAATCGCTGGATTATGTGGCTGGTAACAAATTCAAAATGACCTTTTCTGTACAGTTACTTGGTTTAAACATTTGTTATGCTTACAATGTTCCATTATGAACAAATGAGCGTTTGTGAGATTTGCAGATCTCAGTGTTAATAAAGAAAAATACCACATTTGTTAACATGGAGGGAGCAGGATTAATAATTTGTACTGGAACTAGTCAATAGGAACGCTGGTCCTCTTTAGGTGTCAACTTTCATGTTTCATTCTGAGATCTAGCCACAGTAAAGACACTCTTTAGTTTAGCTTAAGTAACTTTCTTATAGATATTGCATTTTGCTTGTTTTGCATGAACATCCTCTCTCACTGAGTGAGTGAGCGAGAGGTCTGCTTGGTCAGAAATTCAGCTTTAACCAACAAATACATCAATCTTTCCTTTTGTCATTTGGTAAGTGAGTTGGTTTAGTACAAGGAATGCAATGTCTTGCATTGTTTGGACAGACACTGCTTACGAGCACGCACAGTGACTCGACTGCACAGAAATATAAAATAAGCTTGTTTCAAACATTAATGCAAACTACAGTTTTGCATTCATCCTAAGCCCCTTTGGCAATCTAATTATCTGTATCTAAGTCTCTATTTTAGACTCGTCCACGTTGTTGTGCTTATTCAATGACCCAAGTCATTATGATCAAATAATAAAGCATAAATTCTGCCTGGTTTCTTGTTGCAACTTGTAAATTTAATGCAGACAAGTAGGCTGTCCCTTGTGCTTTTGATGTTCTCTAATTAATTAGTTTCATCAGCCTCTCTATGCAACATCTTAAACCCTAATAGTCTGCTAACTTTGATGGGATCCACTCAGTGAGACCTTCAGATCACACTCAGTGTAATGAGATAGCTGCTTTGAAAGCCAGCAGGACCCTCAAATCCAATTTCAATGAAAATGGCCACAATTTCTAAATTTCCATCAGCTTATAGTAAACTTAAGCAAGCTTATAGTCCATACTGCATATTGAGCTCTCACTGGTTATTTTATTTTATTTTTTCAGACTATGCCTGGCCTCTACCCAGCGCCCTGTGCCCGATCTGGATCTACCTGGATGTGTTGTTCTCCACGGCCTCCATCATGCACCTGTGTGCCATCTCTCTGGATCGATACGTAGCTATTCGCAACCCCATCGAGCACAGCCGCTTTAACTCCAGAACCAAAGCAATGATGAAGATCGCTGCTGTCTGGACCATATCCATAGGTCAGCACATATTTATATTTGACATTTACTGTGTCAAAAACTCACTCTGCACACTTATGCACAGATTAAAGTCCTCCATTGATGCAATGGATTTCCGTAATTTTGAATGTGGACAAGACGATTTCTGTAATGGAGGGGGTACGTTTGTTTTGTTGTGGTCTTGTTAACGCCATCCAATCTGATGATGATATGGGGATTAAACTGGTGCTTCTTTCAACAAATAAAGAGAACCACAGTCAAAGTTTTACCCAATCAGAACAGAGTAGGGTGGGTGTTGCTGTCTGGTTCATGGCAGGTGTGTGTAGTGTTCCTAACAAAGACAGACAGCAGGTGAGAGCACCAATAAGCATTTCCTTTACTATTTACCATTGAGGACACCTCGCTACCCTAATGGAACCGCCCAACACCATTGTAGGTGATTACATGTCATTAGTTAAAAGTCTACATATTGTATGTGTTCACACGTGACCAGTTCACTGCAGCTGGGGAAGATATCAGAACTGATACACCATCACCACCACCTCTGCGTGAGCATCCTCCTGGTCCTCGAGGCAGAGAGAGTGCCACTGCAGGAGCTCACTCAGCCTGTTTGTGTCTCTCATGGTGAGAGAGGCTGTCTGCAGCTTTAGTTCTTTTAATTAAATAATAATGCTAAAAGACAAAAATGTATTCGCCCCAGATTATAACAAAGGTATACGTCTTCATTTAACTTAATCTTTCCTCGAAGTCACAAAGCTCTCTCTGTGAGAGAGTCAGTTTCAGGTGTTTGTAGTTTATCATAAATATCTGCTTATTTAAAGTCTAAACGGTATTATAGCAATAACAAGATATTTTGGCTTTTTGGATGTGCAAAACTTGCTCTTATTTAGCGGTTGATGATGCACAGGTAACCTCCAGGTGTAGACAAATTTCCAGTCAGAACATCTTTTTTCTTCTTTAATCCCTGTATGCAAGTTTAAAGAGTCTAAACCAGTGCGCCAGTTTTCTTCACTCAGTCATACCTTGGTAGTTACTCTTTGCAGAATGAAGGAAATAAACTGCAGGACAAGTGATATAATTTATCTTAAATGCCAGAAAAGCAGCTCCCCCTAAAATTAAATACCATAAATGCTGGTAAAATTGTGTCGTCTCTGTTGCCGAATTGAAGGGAAATATGCATCAATAACAATGAATTATCATTAAGTTTTAGGAGAGCTGTGCAATGTAATGTGATTTGTTATTTTTAAAAAAAAAAACTAGAAAAGCAGTGTCTCAGAAAGAATTATTGTAACTATGGCTAAAGCTGCACTGTCTTAAAAAATTACAGTGACTTGTAGGAAAACTGTGCAGCCTAAAATAAATGACAGAAAATGGTCAAAAACCTGTGATGCCAAACATTAATTTAAAAACATGTTAGAAAAGCTGCACAGTTTATTACTGTAAATGTTAGAAATGCTGTGCTGCCTGAAATAAATGACTGTGAATACAGGAAAGATTAGCAAAATTTGGAAATATTTGAAATAACCAAATAATGTATTGATATTTAACAATAAGGCCGGGTGCAAATACATTTTCATTTTGTCTGGATCCGAACCGGAGTTAACCATTTGTGGATCTATTCTAAACCAATAATGAGTAAATTAGTATTTAGTAAATTAAGACTTGTCAAGAAGCTAATGCAGCAGATTAAACAGAATCAATAACAAATGCATTTGCATGATTGCTGTCTGGAAGTGGAAGGGTATTGATTTTGGAGACGTTCTGTCCAACACTGTCACAGTAGGAAACTATTTTTTTCTGTATGTCAGGACACATCAGCCAATTAAAAAAACTAACAGTGTGGAGTTCCTCTGAGACCTGAGAAAGGCGTATAGGTTCATCTCATGGAACCATAAATCATTGTTTAGAAAGGTGTATAGCCAGAAAAATAGTTTGAAAACACTTTTCTGCCTCTTTGCTGATATAACAGGTTGAATGTCATTTGAACCAATCTGATAACTTTTTTCATGAAACACTCCAAACATCCAGCCTTAATTAGAGCCCAAGTGCTGCAAAGCAGCAGAAGGCCATGTTGTATTTGAACTGATTATTATTATATTATTTTATTGTCTCCCAACAGTTATAGTTTTAGTGGACCGAGCATAATAAAATTAACCATTTATGTAGAACTAGCATAAATATGGGTAACGCAAAAATACAGCTATATAGGCAAGGCAAGTTGGCTCACTAGTGCCATCTTGGGGATGAGATGGGGTAGAGGTAGGGCAGCCATTTCGAGACCCGAAAGTCCTTAGTTCGATCCCCAGTCATTCTCACATATCGTGGTGTCTCTGAGCAGGAAACCTAATTCCTAATTGCTCCCCGAGCACTTACATAGCTGCCCACTGCTCCACCTGGGTGTATCCCAAGTGTGTTGGGTTGAACCAATTTCACCATTGTATGGGAACATGCAGTTATGACAACACATAGCACTTTTATTTTTTTGTTTATTTATTTTGATTGTGCCACCTACAAATACTTTAATTTGCGCATACAAAATTTAGTACATTGATCCCTCACTGCAGATCTACAAAAAAGTCTCTTGGCACCATACTGTAAATTTTACATTGCGCCACCTAGAGGCAATTAAAAATACATTATTTTGTTTGGAAAAATCTCCCACTAACTGTTTGTCCCATCAAACTTGTTAAGGAAGTGTTGACCTTTTGAATGGACAACAAAATAGTTTGTTGCCAGCAACAAGCAATTGGTGCAGCTGGGGCATAATGGTGAACTTGGAGGCGTCGCCATTGGGGCATAAATGGCCATAAGTCACATACAGGTTATATGTTGTCCCAGCTGGTTTTAACGTCCACGTATTATTTTTTCTTACCTTGACACAATGATGTAGCTGTACCATAGTTATGTTTAGGCACCATATTGTGTTGACAAATACTACACGTATTTTAAAATTACGTATTTTATGTGGGATAAAATTATTTTGCTTCTAATTCAACCAGAATGGCCAGAACAGTTTGTTGAAGAGGTAGCATTAATATTATGAAGTTCTGGCTAATGTTACCATAGCAACCAGCTAATTTTGTGAGAAAAAAAAAACACCTTCTTGAAGCAAAGCCAGGGATGATTAAATGCTTGTTAACGGTGCCAAACAGTGCCACTATGACCAGTTTCACTCAGAAAAAAGTACTTGCTCCCTAAAACCCTTTAGAAATCTTTGGAAATGCAGGCTTCATCTTGTGCTGTATACACATGGATAACTTTCAGTAAATGTGAATCACCTGTAGACACAAAAAATATCTCCTGGACCTACAGGCTCCTTTCTTCAGGACGTTGGCCATTTTGGATCAAAACTGATTGCTAAATTTGACCTTTTTGTTCCATTCTTTCACGGCACATGGTTGCCGCCTCGGCATCTGACTCTGCAAACTATGATGTGCACTCAGCCCAGACCACCCAGTGCATGAGGGTCCTTTATTGCTGTTTGAAGTTTTAATTAGAAATGCGTTCCTATTCTTTAGAATTAATTTATTTAGCACCAAAATGTATTGTTTCTTGTAATTAGTAGCAGATACATTCAGTTTTGATATTACCATCAACTAGCTTTGAGCTGTTTTAACCCATAAAGTTGATTTTTAAAGAATTTGTCTGTTTTATTTGTTTGTTAATTTATCTATTTATTTATTGCACTTGGCTTTGAAAGTCTTTGAAAGTCAAGTCTGTTGAATAGTCTTTGTTCAGAAACAGAATTAGTTCTGTTGAGTTTCAAAGCAAAAACAAAACATATATAGCCACCTACCTAACTATATTATTGTCTGGAAAGTAACGTTTTGCTGTACGACTTTTACAATTAATACTTTCTAATCTTTACACGCTTTTTTTTTTTGCACTAAGATTAAACCTAATTCTGAAATTTGGATGTTGACATTTTTATTTATTTATTTAATTTATTTATTTTTTTATGTATATCCATCTATTCCCTAAAACAAACAAAATACACCTTACTCAAAGGCTACAAGTATTTACCTTATGGGAAAATAAGCGATTACAAGGGTGAATTACTTTTTTGGAGTGAGGTTTATTCTCAAGTGAAGGAGTTCCAGTATCTTGGGGTTTTGTTCAGGAGCGAGGGAGAATGGAGCCTGAGATCAACAGACAAATCGGTGCAACTTCCACAATATTGCGGTCTCTGTGTGTCTGTGTGTTGTTGTGAAGAACGGGCTGCGCCGCAAGGCGAAGCTCCCTGTGGGCCTCCATGCTGAAACTGCTGCCCCTACTACCTGACTCAAGAAGAGAAAGATAATGTTTGGAGGGATATAACATGTTTTTAACATTTAACTTGTGTTTCATATGATCTATCGTCCACAAGACGGAGCAATATTATTTTACACGTTTGTTTGTCTAAACTTCTATAAAAATATCTCAAAAAGCACTGAAGAGATTTTAATGGAACTTTCATAAAATAATAAATGGGCATGGCTTTACAAGTGAATAACTTTTGGAACCAACCCAATTCAAGATTGGTGCCACAGCTAACTGACATTGGAAGACATATAAAGGGCTATAGCCAAATTTACGTGTATTAAGCTAACATCAAATGTAGTAGCTGAGGCCCATACCCACCATATACTTTGAGTGCAACAGACCATTGCTTAAAACGTTAGTATTTAATAGTACAGACTGTTGGGAAAAATATCTCGTTAACAACTAATTAACTTTAGTAGTAGACACAATTTAAGTTGGCCATCACATTTACCAGCAATCGACCTTAGCCTATAGAAAGCAGCTACAACTGAGTGAATTTTACAGAAAGCAGATGGCTGACATTCATTTACAACACCCAAGCATGCCACATCACACAACATTTAATGAGATCGTATGACATTGAGTGTAGATATTTTCAAGGTTTAATCAAAATGACTACATCTCCATCTTTTCCTAACTTAATAAAGTTAATTGTAGTTTCTTAGCCTGGTTCTTTCAAGGAATGCTGGGCCTTTTACAACTAAAAACATGATTTCAAC